TGCAGGGAGCTTTCATGTTATCCTGACAACACTACAGCAAACAAATACTTGACTATCACTAGATGCCTGATCACAGGCATTCTGACGGGTCACTGCCAAGTAGGGAAGCATCTCCATGTCATGGGGCTGGCAGAATCCGCACTCTGCAAAGGGTGCAAACAAAAAGATGATATCATCGAGTATATCGTCTACAAGTGATCGATGCTCACATTTATTAAATGATTTGTATTCGTTGATAATTGGCTAACACCAGCCGATATAAGAAAGGCACCTCTTGTCAATATTGTCAACTACATTAAATCTGTATGCTGGCTCACGAGCTAGGAGGTGCCGATCTATTTAGGAAGATGCAAAATGGGTTTAGTAAGGCCTAAGTGCCGTGGGTTAACCCACCCTCCACACGTTACAGATATAGATGTTAAACTTAACGAAACTGTTGCAATTGAAACATATGCTTCTGTTACAAAGAATACAGCTGTTGAATGTGGTTTATTCATCTTTTAAGAAAAATGTTATCGTTTCTTAGGAACTTCACCGGATGGATTGGTAGATGATTCTAAAAATTTTTAAGTAAAGTGTTTTTACTCAGCTCGAGAATTTGCACTATTAAATGCACAAAAACATGTTAAATACTTTTGTTCTACTACTGCGGATGGAAAAAAAATGTTCCTTAGGAAAACCATAACTATTTTTACTAAGTAAATGTTTAGCAATGATTATTTTTTTGTAGGATCAATAAGAATTTTTAAAAGGTATATTTAATAAATTTATTTGTAATAGAATTAGTTTTTCTTTTTAGTTAAAAAAAAATATGAAATACCTACTAAGGTAATATAGTTTTTGAGCCAATCAGATTTTTACGAATTTATATTTTTTAACAGAAAAAATGTCATTACTAAATACCTGTTGTTTTAATTTCAAAATCCGTTTTTTTTTTTTTACTTGCCAACCTTCTTAAATATCGTCTTACGATCCAATTTCTACCAAAAACTAATCAACATGCAATTAACATGATACTGATATTTGGTAAACATCTGTTCAACTTTTTTAATTGATAAAACACATGCATCATTCAGAATGTACCTTTCATTTAATAATTAAATAATTCAAATATTCTGTAAAATGAATAGGTACGTTTGCATCGACCGAATTATTAATAGAAAAATATTTATTTAATCCAGCGAACTTAGTAATACAACTCGATCTGGCAACACGGTAGCGTTGGTGTACGCGGACATTCGAAATTTCTGTTTGAGTAGGAAATTTAGTGCTATCTGTGAGCAATTTTAGAAAGTACTAATTGAGATGGCAGCACCTCTCAGAGATAAGACTTTGAAAGAGGAAATTCAAAATAGTGTTATTGTTTAATTGAATTTTTCACTAAATTTATAATAAACTTATTAATGTTTTGACGTCAATGTCTTTAAATATAATTATTGAAGGTATATTCTTTAATATTACATTCATTTTTATAGTTTAAATCTAATTTTTGTTAATAAAATAAATATATTCTTCAATTACGTCATTTGTGCAAGTTAAAAAATTTTCAAAAAATGTATGTAAGTTTCTTAACCAAAACTAATTTATTTTATGAAATAATGATCTCTCTTGATAGTCTAGTTTCTTTGTTTTATACTTGTAAAAAAGTAAATTTTCCGATTCTTCTTGAGAACAAATGATACAAACCGGATCAAATTTTGGTAAAATAATACTTAAGGTTGTATATACATTCACACATTTTTTCAAAAATTTTGAACGTGTAGATACTTTTTCCGGGGGTCCATATAAACCTTATGTTTAGTTTAATCGTCTTATTTTTTTTTTTTTCAGTGAATCTTCAGTTTTTCTATTTCTCATTCTTAATGAGTCACCCTGTATAAATCTAACTTTTATTTAGAGAAGAAATTTTTATTTTATTTTTGTGGCGATGAATTGTCGCGCGATGAATTAGTAGCGATGAAATGTCGTAGCGATGAAATGTCGCTCGATGAATTGACGAGAGATCCCTGCACGTGTTTCTAGACGACACCGTTAATGCTATACGATACAGAGGTGAGATACTCGAATCATATGTTATTACATTTGCTACTCAGCATGGACCAGAACTTATCTTACAACAGGATAATGCCAGGCCTCATATTGCGACAGTAGTTGCTTAATACCTTCACGACTCCAATATTATAAAGGTACCATTTCGGTAGGCGCGACAGACGACCGCCGACGCGACATACGACCGCCGACACGACCGAGAAGTGTCGCTTCACATCTAAAATACATACAATTATATGAAACACATTTCGCACGGCGCGACACGACCGAGAAGTGTCGTCCTGGAAACACTTCTCGGTGCAAAGCTTTGCTACGTATCGCACTCGAGGTCTTTGTCCTCGGCATCGCTTTTTTTTTGGGGGTGATTCGGTCGGAAATTTCTTTCGATCTAGGCAGCGTTGCCAGATTTTGAAACAGTATGGGTAAAAAAAAACCGTAGATTTGAGCAGTAGATTTTAATACAGGGGAAAATAATTAAAATTTGCAGTGTAGTAAATAAAAAAACAAGGTAGAACTCCAATTATCCGAATTAATGGGGACCGGAACCCATTCGGATAATCAAATATTCGGATAATCGGATTTTTTTTTAAAAAATTGCCATTGGAGAGAATAAAAGCTACGTTTTGATATTGCACTATTTTTTTATTGAATTAAATGAAAGAAACATGAAATTTTCACATGTTTTAAATATAAATAAAATGTACTTATGTACAAGTTTAGAAATAAAAATCATTGTTTTTTAAACATCTCCGTCAAGACTTGACGCGCATTTGTGATTCGGATAATCGGCGATTCGGATAGTCGGAGTTCGGATAATTGGAGTTCTACTGTATATAAGAAACGAAAAATAAACTTTTTTCGACCCAAATTAGAAGGTAAACAAAGAATAAACACAAATAATAACATTTTTAATATATACTTAACGTACGGAAACAAAAAAAAAACAATGAAAATAATAGGTACCCACTTCTTTTAGATCAGTCTGAATCAGATAATTCAAAATTGTAGTGTGCATGTTCTTTTTATGAAGCCCTATTAATTATTCTTTGTTTCATTTTAAATAAAAACAATGCTTATCTTGATGTTTTTTTTTTATGGAGCCAACCTAGAGTAGTGGATGCTTATTACGCTGCTTTTACTGCAGAAAATTTACTAAAGAAAATATTCTTTAACCATTTACTGAAGAATGAGGCAAACTTAATAAATTAAGAACAAAATTTGCTAGAGACAAAAACAGTGGATCTAGGTGAAAACAGTAGGTCTGGCAACGCTGATCGTTTCCTCGAATGGTTATCCTGTAACTGTCGCGCGACACTTCTCAAGCTTACGAAATGCACCAAGCGTAACATTTATGCATCTGTCGTCCTACTCGACCTTGGGGTCGCATCAGTGGTCGCTTGTCTCTTGACGCGCCTACCCAAATGGTACCTTAAGGCTAAAGACACACACGGCTGTTTTTGCCGAGTCAGCTGCCGACTCGGCTGGCCGCCTCTGCCAAAACACACGAAGCGGTTCACAAAAAAGTAATGCATTTGAGTCGAACGACGGTACGCGCGGCGGTGTAGCGTCGCTTTCTCGCAGCGCAGTATAGTGTGAACAACTCCATTTATTTACATTACAGCATCCGCCGAGGTGGCGGCCGAGTCGGCGGCCGACTCGTCGAAAACAGCCGTGTGTGTCTTTAGCCTAATTACGGCTCGACCTGGTAATAGCACCAAGCTTAATCGTATTGAGCACAATTGAATTTACTAAAGAGGAGACAAACACGCCCACAAGAACCAGATCTTAAAATCTTGTCAGAAAATCTTCGGGAGGCATGGAACGCCTTTCCTAAAGAGATTATTTGAAGACTAATACCTACCCTCTTATGTCAAATCTATATGCTCAAATACATAGAAGCCGCGGGGGATACACACATTATTAGGGCAAACATTCACATCACTACAAATGAAATAAACCCATTTGGACTGCATCCAAATGGATTTTAGGTTTAGAAACTATTCATACACGGTCACTGTAAATGGATGCGTGAATAATGTAGTTATTTGAGGTGTATGGTACACAGCTAACTCGAGGTTTTCTATTCGTACAACGTCCACGCCGCAGACTGGAATCAGAGTTTGTTGGATGTGGTATTCAACAAAGCTACGACTAGGGATTACAAATTTACTGAATTTTAATTTACCGGTAATTCGGTGAATTATTTAAAAAATTACCGATTTACCGGTATTTACCGGTTTTTTCTGACATAAAAAAATAACAAAGCAATAAGCCACAAAATAAATAAACAAACTTTAATTCCTATTAAATAATAACAACATAAAAGTAAAACTCTAGGTAAACTTAAAAAAAACTAATATACCTAACTTAAAGTCTAGTAAAAGGCCCTAAAACATTCGAAATAGTAATTTAAATAAAAAAATATATATCGTTTCTTACTTTTCCAACGACTCTTTCTATTTCTTTTGTTTGATAAAAAAAGCCCTTAGAAAACACAGCTTATCAATACCATTATCACTTAACCGCGACCTAATCTTAGTACAAATTGTTCCTGCCGCACAAAAAGCCCTTTCAGACTCCACAGTAGTAAGCCGAGTTGTCATGAGTGCTGCGAAATCCATTTTTAAGCAATTCCCTTGAATTCCCTCTTTCCGAAAATATTGCACATATTGATGAACACTGTTAGATCTAACCTGCTGTCTTCTAATTGGAAAAGTACTGTTTACATCAATTTTCATTCTTATCGCTAGTTGAAATTTTTCTTTAATCGAAAATGCAGCATTATCCGATTTTGATGTTGATGGGCCCAAAACCTGACTGAGGGGAATGTTATCCTCATCCTCATCAGAGGAATCATCGAGATCAATGCTATTTGTATTTTCTGATGATTCTTGTAGGTTTTCTTTTGAAATCCGCCCAATTAGTTCCACTATTGTATTTCTTATTGTAGATTAGCTGGTTTTATTAAATACTCCATAATCTTCACCACTGGATTCCTCAGGAAACGGATTATGCAGGTACTGAAGAACATCAGAATAAATGGTCCGTCTATCTTTTATACGATCTAACAATGCCTCTTTCAGTTCAATACTTAAAACTGTTTTTTGACTTGTAAGCACATCAATCATGAATTTTAAGGTAATATCAGATATAAAAAGATTTACATCTTCACAACATAATTGCTCTACTGCAGCTTTTACCGGTTGCAATGCTAAAATTGTACTAGATAGTAACTTAAGTTCATCTTTTGTGAAGTTTATTTCTGATTTAATGTCTATTAAGCTCTTTCTGATGCAATTTCTTAACATTTCAAATATTTCCAGCATTGCTAACAAACTGTTCCATCTGGTTTTGTAGTCGAGTATTAAAGAATATTCGTTATTAAATTCTTCTTTTACGTTTTTGTAGAAAAATTTTAACGACTTTCCGAATTTTTGTAATTAAACCATTTAATTCAATATTTGATAAGAAAGTTGGCACTGGCAAAGCTTGATCGATGGTTCCACCAGCTTCGTATTCAATTTCCGAATTGTCGTTTAAAATTTCATTTTCCTCAATATCGGAATATTCGGAATCAGATGCATTACCTTTGTCGGGCTCACTATCTTCATCGATATTTTCGTCACGTAATTTATCAGCATCGTGTAAATCAGTTTTATTGAATAATACTTTAATTACGGCTAATTGTATGCCATGCGCTATACATAATTGGTGGTGTGGATCTATCAATTTTCCCACTTTTTTCATTACTGAAACACCGTCTGCAGTAATCGATACAATGTTTGTAAAACCAAGTTGAAACTCATTAAGCTTTTTATTCAAAATCTCAACGCATTTTTCCTCTGGCATGGATCCATGTACCCGAGCTAATCCTAAGTTCCAAAAGGCATCCTTTGTATGGACATTTATGTTCATGAAGCGATGGTTTTTTTATTGATAACCATTCATCACAAGTCAAACTAAACACTTTTCCCCGAAGTTTATTCTCTTTCAACTCATTTATTAGTTCTTGAAGCATTTTATTAGAATATTCCAAAACAATTTTTCTTATGGTATTTGGTCGGTATATCTCTATCACAGACAGCACAAGTCAATCCATTGGATGTCCATCGGAAGTCCATTCATGGACATATCGGCTGTCCAAAGGACGTCCAGCATTTTACCGAAGGACATCCACTGGACTATACAAATGTCCCACTCCTGGACGTCCATTTGGACTCCATGAAAGGTCCATATATTGACTCTTTTTCTATTGCTTTTGGACAATTTATGGACATCTGACGGACATCACCACCTTTATTAATATGAAATAAAATAATTGCAACTATGGACTTATTTTTATTGTCATAAATAATATCAAGCATGTATTAGTTTTATACGCACTCCTTTCTGTTGACCTTCTCAGCCATTTTCTTAAGGCTATTTCGCTTACTTTTTAAGCAGCACCATTATCATTCTCAGCAGCAGCTAAAAAAAGACTACATTTTATACGAATATTGAGTCTTAAATAAATCGTTTAATACACGCCTGACAAGGCAAAACTGATAGTTAAAAATGTAAAACTTTTAGATAAAATGTTATTAACTAATATGAAAATATGCATTGAATAATGTACTTTACCTCTATACTTACATATAAACAAAAAACTGCTAATTATTTCTTTAAATTACCATTTTACTTTTATATCATCATATTATGCGAATTCTTTTGATAGGATATTAGTAATTATGGAAACAAAACATCTTTTCATAAGTTGCCCTGGTTTTGGTAACTGCTGAATCTAAAATTGCAATAAAAATATGTATTTGTGAACATTAAAGAGAAATAACTTATGAAACCACTTTCAATGCATTATTTCTTAAACTTTACAAAACTATTCTATTTTATTTAATAAAATTAAAACTTACAGCTTCTTTAAAAATATTTGTATCTTCTAAATAACTCTTCTGCTAACGTCTCATCCATACAAATAGAAACTTGAATTTTTTTCTTCTCCTTTGAAAGTTTTCTCACCTCTTATAGTTACAATAATAATTGTGTTGACATCATCTCGAATTTGCAGCATATTAGTTAGCTTTTAGTAAAGCCATTTTCTTAAATAGGTAGGTAAATCGTTTGACAAAAGGTCTAAAAGAAAGGGATTCTTCGAATGTAAATCGAAAATATAAAGTTTAAAATATAATTGATAGGTTATATTAGTTTAAAACAAACGATTTGCTTCTTAATTTTTGGATTTTTAAATAATTTAATGTTAATTGTATTTATTTTCTTACCAGATAAACATTATATACGGCCACATGTGGGATGACGAGATGTTTTCTTCTTAACCTCTTTCTTCTTTTCTTCTTCGAGTCTGGTCTGAATGGCCTTTTACTTTTTTATCTTATCAACAGAGGCGTTAGGAGAGGAAAATGAATTGATTTATTTTAATTAAAACGTTGTAAATAATTAAATTATACAAGAAGAATTATAATAATTTATTATAAGTTAGTCATTTTTATAGTGTCCATCATGGACATTTATTGGACATCCACTGGACGTCTGAATGGGTATATCCATTGGATAACAGAAAATGTATGTCCAATGGACATCCATATAAAGTTCATGGACATCCGGGACATTATTTGGACATAATATGGACTTTTAATAATTTTCTTAAATCTTCTGAAGTGCAAAACTTATTAAATGGCAAACAGACCAGTGCAGTCAAACGTGCAATCACTGCTGGAAATGAATCGTCCACAGTTGGTTTAAAATACGACGTAATTGTAGATATTTCTTTGTAAGGCTGGTTGTTGCGTTTTCCAGATAAAGGTATAGATTTTCCTCTTTTTAACAAGTTTATTTAATGCTGACTCTTTAAATGACTACGTAAACGACTAGTGCTTCCTCCAGCAGCTTTAATTTGTCTGGAACAAAGTTTACACAACTGCAAGGAAAAGAAGAAACATGTTTTTATTACTTCCTAAATGCAAATTTAAGCGCTTAAATATTTCACAATCTTCACTTGTGTTAACATGCCGCGACCAGCGTTCCCATTCAATCTTTTTTGTTTACAATTCATCCCGTTCGCGCTGCCATGCATCATAGAAACAACGGATCCGCGCTGTTGTCAGCTTGGCATTTTTTACCGAAATTACCGGTAAAAGATTTCTTCGTAGGTAATTTAAAAAACTTTTAAGGCGGTAAATCGGTAAACCGGTAAATCGGTAAACCGGTATTGCAATCCCTAGCTACGATGCCACACCTGTATTTTAAATTTTTAACATTTACGGAGGGATTTTGGACTGCAGACACTCCATTTGGACGTTTTGCAAAGTAGTAAATAGGGGCGATCCTAATTCGCTTTGAGTTCTTTAAAATCATTTTAAAGACGTTTAAATAATTCATTTGAAATTTAGGAGTAAACACTTTAGAAAAAAATATCTATGGTTTCACTGTTGACAAGCATGGCTACCTAGTAAACTCTTAATATCAGCACAGAAGAAACTTGTGATATCAGTAACAATGTCGCAGTGCATAAAATAAGCTCCACAAGAAATCCATTGCATTTTAAAAACTTATATTTTTTTCCAGCAGTAAAGTTAAATCAAAAATTCTGAAAATCAGTAGGGCCAGACAAAACATGGAGCGGATTCGTGGCAGGCTCGTTTGAAATGTAGTTGGCTTGTTTCGCTCATCACGTACTAAATCTAACTAAAAAGTTTTTGGGAAGCTTGTGGCGGTCTCAACTTACCAAGCGAATCAAATGAAGTAGTAGGAGGCTAGAGACAGGCTCATTGGTCAAACAGTGTAAGCTAGGCTCAGCTCAGACGTGGCTCACTCGCGGCTCGCCACATTTATACCCATCTTGATAAGAATCCGAAATTTAAACGAATGTAAAAAATTATAAAATAGTCCATCCTGATATTTAGCAGTAATTATTAGATTTTTTTCATATATATATATTTTTCTGTCAATCCTTTCCATTCTACTTCCTTAACTACATAATTTTAAATAGGGAATGTACCGTGGCACACCATTAGAGAGGCAACGCGATGGTGTATTTAGCAAGAATGATATATTATATTATTGAAAAAATACCGGTGTTACTTCCGAATATTTCTTTGGTAAAAATGTTCTGTAGCATATGTCGCTGGTGTTAGAAGAATTGGGGTCTTTTGTAGAAATAACTAACGAGTCATAGGTAGTAGAAAAAGAAGTGTTTTTAATTTACTATTTTCACTGAAGTAAATACATAGTGGTTGATTCCATTTAGATATAATAATTTTCTTATCTTCACTAAACAGTTTTAAATATTTACAATTTTAGTTCATCACAATTTGATTAACTAATACAGTTGAATTTTTAGTTACCAACTTGAAAACATTTGTTTGTAGAATTTCTTATGCCATAATAATTGTAGAAGATAAAACTTGCACCAGAAAATAAACTGCATTAAACGCTTGTAAAAATGTAGAAAGTAACGTGCCGTCGGCAGAAAGCATCTGAACGCGATGATGGCAAAAGCACAACTGAATCGTTGATCGTTGGTGGCAATAAGACAACTACTGAATCATGGCAAACATACAACTGAACTCTTTGGTGGCAATAAGACAACTACTGAAACGATGGCAAACATACAACTGATTTGCTCGCGTCGAGCTCACCCTAATATATACTGTTGGGACGAAATGAGTGTCCGGGGCATAGTTCACGCACCTATTCTGTTTCAACCAATGAAAACATTATGACATAATGAAATACGTCATTTGTGCTTCGTTAACTATGCGCCGGACACTCATTTTGTTCCAATGCATCGCTGTGCACCTAAAAACACAGGTATTCTGAGAAAAATGCTATTTATAGTTTTATGACTTCACATTATATTAGGGTAAAAAGCAGTCGAACTATTTGAGAATTGTTTATTTATTTAGTAGATGTAAAATATTAATTTGTTGATATTTTTACTGGTGAAATTGTAGAATTTAACCATACTGGCGCGCGCAACACAAAGGAAAACAACATTGAATGATGAGAAATTAAAATGAATAACAATGATAAAAATATCTTGGAAAAAACTCGAAGGACCAGCCAGTGTTATCGCACTGACACGATGTATGAATAACAAAGTTAAGTTTCTCAGGTGTTTGTTGCGCAAGCCACGCATGATTTCAAACATATGACAGATTCATAAAACGAAAACCAAGTTGATAAATAATAAGTAAGAAAAAATAAAGGAAAAATGGCGTAAGGTTATTGACCAGGTCACTCGCGAATCTATCCCAGATCAAGATCCTAGCGTTTCCTTTCGTGGAGCATTTGGATTCAACCTAATCCAACTGCGTATTTAACAACCTCATGCGAAAGTAGGTACCTAACTTAAAATCTAAAGCTATTATTTGTGTTATTAAAGATTAAAAGAGTGCTTGCGGGTCATGGTTTAACGTTAATAACGATTCATATGTTGTAGATTGAGTGGTAGTGATAAATGTTTTCAAATTGGCAACGGTACATTTTGAAATCTCAGGAATCGCTAACAATTGCTGGAAATGATTGGACAAAATTTGTCTGACATTATTGTATCTAGTGTTTAATAAATCTAGTGCTACTTGAAAGTTGTCATCCAAAATTGGTAACGATTCTATCAATTTAAGTGCTTCGCCACTAAGGTGAGAGCGTAGGTAAAATAATTTTTCAGAATTTGAACCCATTTGAACATTATTGGTGATTAGCGAATTGAACAAATTAATAAATGATGTGTATTCAAGTGAATTACCAGAAAATGCAGGAATTTTTATTTCTGGCAAACGTAATCTTGATTGAGGAACCCCAAGATCAGATGGAACGTGAACTGGAGGTGAATTATTAGTGATACCTGTTGGTTTATTTAAGTTGTCCAACATTGTGGTTAATTTTGCAAACAGTTCAAAGTATCCATCCTCTGTGATGTCCCTATCAATATCTGCAGGTTCAGATTGTTCAATTTGGTCCTGAGTTTCTAAGTATTTGATAAAATATTGTTTAATTCTTTCAAGTTTGGCGATTATTGGACCTTTGTCTGAACACGCTGAGTTTTCATTAACCCAAGTTTTAGTTTTGGTAAACTGTGATTTACAAATGCCTCTAACTTTTTTCAATTGATCCATTTCGATAATAGTGTTCAAATAGTGTTCAAAAATTTCTGATAAAAACGGCTAAGTATTTTTTTGTAAGAAAAAATTTGCGAGGGATTGACTTAGAGAAAGTAAATTTTCTCTTTAAAAAAAAAACAATTTAAACAAAAATTATTTCCAAAAAAAATCTTTCATGAAAAAACAGCTGTTTTTTTGTAAAAAAAAAAAAAATTGCGAGGGATTGACCTAGAGAAAGTAAATTTTCTCTTTTTGAAAAACAATTTAAACAAAAAAAATTTTTTTTTCTGAAAAAACGGCTAAGTGTTTTTTAAAAAAAAAATTGCGAGGGATTGACTTAGAGAAAGTAAATTTTTTCTTTCAAAAAACAATTTACCAAAAAAATTTATGAAAAAACAACAATTTTAAATAAACACTGTAAATATGTAAACTATTACAATAAGTACAAAAAAATCACAAAAATTATTTTTCTTTTAAAAATAGAAAAATCCACGACAAAAAGAAATGCAATTTACTAATAATGATTTTACAAACCCTTAATCTCCAACGAAAAGTTAAAACAATCAAAATAAAATAAATTTCCCCACAATAAAAAGTATTTTTTTTTAAATACCTTGTTGATTCTTGTTGTTAACTAGTAGATTTTGGCCTCTTTTTCTTCTCGAACACTATGAAGCACTCCCAAGGGAGCTTGTAGATTTTTCTTGTTGATGAACCCAAAAATTTCCAATTTGAATCCGGCTCGAAGGAAACTGAATCGTTGATCGTTGGTGGCAATAAGACAACTACTGAATCATGGCAAACATACAACTGAACTCTTTGGTGGCAATAAGATAACTACTGAAATGATGGCAAACATACAACTGATTTGCTCGCGTCGAGCTCACCCTAATATATACTGTTGGGACGAAATGAGTGTCCGGGGCATAGTTCACGCACCTATTCGGTTTAAACCAATGAAAACATTATGACATAATGAAATACGTCATTTGTGCTTCGTTAACTATGCGCTGGACACTCATTTTGTTCCAATGCACCGCTGTGCACCTAAAAACACAGGTGTTCGACGTTCGGTTTTCTGAGAAAAATGCTATTTATAGTTTTATGACTTCACATTATATTAGGGTAAAAAGCAGTCGAACTATTTGAGAATTGTTTATTTATTTAGTAGATGTAAAATATTAATTTGTTGATGTTTTTACTGGTGAAATTGTAGAATTTAACCAATTATATTAATCTTGTATAAAAAGTGTAACAAAGGTTCTAACAATAAAAAAAAACATACGAACCATAAACATTTTATGTATATATTTTTAATATTACCCACATTTTTCTCTCTAGAACAACATGTTAAGTCATTATTTTCCAAGAAACATAAATTTCGTTAATTTCTTCTAGTTCTTCAACTATGTCCATTTTTACTAACAACCTTACACTCCCACCGAAATCCAACGTTTTCATAACTAAGAGAGAAAAAGAATCCAAAGTTTAGGTTATATCCCTTTGTTACTATTTGAACTTATGGTTTACTTCGAATTATTGATGCATATAAATAATTTTTCACAGTTTTTTACCAGAATAATTATATTAGTTTTTGTATTTTTTATGTTTAATGATTTGATAATTAAATTAATAATAAAAGCGGCTCCACGATAGAAGTTGTGTTTAAAGAAACTGTGAGAGCATGATTCCCATAAAATCTAATATCCATTGCTACTCTAGTGTCTTTTTCTTCTTTTTAAATGCTGTAGTCAGAATAATAATAATGATAATAATAATAATAACAGTAACATCATGATAATACCTAATATAGCTTTTAATCAAAGTTTTCTTTTTATTACAGAGAGGAAAAATACCCTTACTACTAGCTGTTGAAGCTGGTAATCAGTCTATGTGCAGAGAATTACTCAGTGCACAAACGGCGGAACAACTGAAAGCGCAGTCTGCAAATGGAGACACTGCTCTCCACTTAGCAGTTAGACGAAAAGATATAGATATGGTAAGTCACTTTTGCAAGCAAATTAAGTAACACAAATTATAGTATTATTAAATATGGAGAATACGTATGTGTAAAAACTAACGTGATCCTATATAGGGACTTATCAATATCTGCTATTACCACCAGTTTGCTATATAGAAGAGAATTTGTTAATATTATGTAAGGAAGAAGAGGTATATTTGGAGAAGCCCAAGAGGAGATAGTTATACATATCGTCGCCCTCATCACGAAGTGGCATAAGTGACAAATAGTAAATTTTACAGCAATAAAACGAAAATACGTAATTCTCATATCGTTATGCGTTATTGCAGATAGGACACAGAAATAATATGCTGTATTGCATGCACTATTAAGGTTGTAGATGTGCGACTTCGTGAGATGATAAAGTAGGTCAAGACTAGTTAATCCGCACAAAAAAAACATTTTTTTAATTTTTGTTGGTTAGATCACTTCGTAATAAGGGCGACGATATAGAATAGCTACTTTCTAGATAATGAAATCTAATAGTAAAGTGGAAATAACCGATGAAAGTTTAGTAGAGATCGAAGTGGAGCTTTGCCTATATATTATGTCACAAAATACGTAAGATAAAAAGTTATAACATTAAAATCCAATAGTCAATAAACCTGCATGAAATATCCAAACTAAAGGTGCTCAAGGGATTTAAGAGTATTGTGGCATCAATACATGTGGATAATCTAGAAACATTGGTAGCTGCGAAGTCATAGAGAAGTATGTGTAAAAAAAATACTAGGACACAAGGGACATAAAATAGCGAATGAGTTTGGTATGAAGATTGGAAAGTAATTCTGGAAGATAAGTTTATTATGCGAATCAAGAAAAGACCGTTGGCCTAAAGTTGAAGTCATCGCAAACAGTAATAGTTTCATTTAGTTAAAAGCAAAGAGTTCGTTCTTACACCAATATCAAATATCAATTGTTAACTCTTTCAAGGGCGGAGGTATGTTAACAGTAAATGGGCAGGTAATAAAAAACTTATTTAACTTTGCAAAATTTTATGAAATCAGACTCAAAATATTTATTAAAAAACAAAAGTAAACTTAATTTCTAGTTTTTTTTTTATTTTAGTAATAAAAAAAAGGTGGTTTATTTTTTGTACCGGTGCACATGTTCAAAATTTTCTATTGAGTATGGTACCTTTCAAAACAAACCTTATCTTTTCCCAAACAAAGTGGCACATTACATGTAGAACACATCCAGTTTGTACGAACTTGTTGTTGGCTTGTACTGCATAAACCACATCGTCTTCTACTGGTATATTTTGGTTGATGATCTGAATTTTCATGCCTAATTTTTTTTGGAACAAATGGTTTATGCTTTTTGATGGCTACACTCAATGATGAATGTGACTTTTTGATGGTCTTTTTTGAACCGCTACTAAGTACTCGACAATGGAGAGCCTGAAGTTTTTCATTGTGGTTTTATTAAGATTTAATTGTTTGTGTAATACAAAAGCATTGACGACCGAAGCGTCCAAAAAATAAAAGAAAATTCTATGCCACCATTTGTGACTCTTTCTATTTATTTCATAGGTGTGTTTGTTCTGATCAAATTTATCTACCCCATTCATATGCTTGTTATAATCAGTAAGAAGTTGAGGACATGGAATTTGAGTTACTACACCAGCTGGGTTTCTTCTATTTACGGTACAAACATCTGCAGGGTAGTTAGACAGAAAGTTTACAGCTTTTTTATCCATCCATTTTACAGCAAGCAAGCCTTTATTGCTGACACTAAAATCAAAATCCCCTCTTTTTAATTGCTTGTCCTCCAATAACTTTGGTAGAAATAATTTTTTTGACTTAATTGTTCCACAAGCATATATTTTTTGTTTATGTAGATCATCTAAAAGGGGTACACTTGTAAAATAATTGTCAAAAAATAACCTATGACCTTTATTCTCTAAACCATGTGTCAAGTCTCGAACCACTCGGCCACCTAAATCTTTCTCAACACCTTCCTTTGTTTTTCCAGTGCAAATTTGAAATTTGTAGCAATAACCACACTGATCAGCCAACATCCACACCTTATACCCTCTTTTGATAGGTTTTTTGGGAAGGTATTGTTTTAAACTGGACCTGCCTTTAAATCTTATCATAGATTCATCAATAGAGACATTTTGTGACAGCTTGAAGCAATCCACAAATCGATTTTGTAAATGATCCAGCATCGGCCTAATTTTGTGAAGTTTATCAAATTTTGGATCAGTTCGAAGAAGAAGTTGATTATTATCATTCACATGCAAATGACCTAATAACCAACTAAATCTTTTTGACGGCAATAAGGAACTAATATATGTGTCGTGTAGTAAACTGGAACTTGACCAGAAGTCTCTATAGCTTGGCAATTTTTTGATACCCATCAACAAATTAATAGCTATGAAAGTTTTCATCTCTGCAATATTTGTGGGATTGTATATAAGTTTGTTTGAAAGCATTTCAAAAAAATCGTCAGTAAAAAAATTGTTGAAACAAAACACCAGGATCGTGTTCCTTCAAATTTTTTATATTTTCAGGAACGCCAAATTCGCTAGAAAACGCCATAGGGTCGATTGAGCTATTTTCTTTATTCCATTTTATAACGAACTTCGGTTTTCCAATACTCTTTTTCTCTCTTCTAAGTTGCTGCAGTCTAAGAGACAACGGCACATCGTCTTCTGGATCCGAATCTACTAACTCAAAGGTCGATTCATTTTCCATTACGTTAGGATTTTCTTCATTTTCGGAATCATATGTTTCTTCTATCAGAGATTCAGTGTCCGACGGAATATTTTCAGCATCACTAACATCTGTAATTTCTTCATCATCTACATACAAATCCTCGAATATTTCCTTTTTGGATATACCCACTAACCTGAATGGCAGATATTCAGGAATATCTCCCATTATTTGTATCTGTAAATTCAATAAAAGAATTGTCTAGTTGTGCGGTGGTACGAATATTGGATTCACACTAATAAGATTTTTTACAAAAAAATGTACTTCAAACTACAAAACTATTATATTACTCAATAATTACAAGTTTAATACTATGTCATCTTACCTAAAAAAAAGTCTCCTTCAGTTTGTTTTTACAAAAAAAACACGCCTACAAAATTGCACGTGCTCAACAGAAAGTTATTGGTAGCAGAATAAATTAACCTTCTAGTCTCTATGGTAAAATATTAGAATTGGGGCACATGCCGCCATCTACGCATGAATAGATGTATCTATTTACATTTGGAACTGGTGGTACACGAAACCATAGCCTAAAGAATAATATAGCCCCGACACTCTCTATCGGCGCCTTTGATATCTGCGAGACCATTTCTCTAAACGGTAGTGGGGACCGCACGAATTATTCGGTCTTGACGTACAGTAAGCCGGCGACGAAACATGCATGGGCCGTATTTGGAAAATATAATATTTTAAATGTATATATTTAAGACTAAAATGTCATATTTATAAAAAAAATAAAACGCAAATAAATATTAAATAGTTTATATTTAAAACATGCAAATGGCAAATATTATAAATATTATCCTGTTATATTTTATCAAACTAAAATTGAGTTAAACGTTTACTTATTCGGTAACAAACCTACTCCCTGTTATATTATATAAAATGGCTTTACAAATGTTTCCAAATAATAAGTTTGCGGTTCCTGTTCGCCTGTTTAAAATTTTTATTGATATCTTTTATTGTATAATATATTCTTACACGCGCATATAACCTCATAAGGTAAAAACGTGGAAACTGCTGACAAGGATGGTAAAATTTTATTTTTTCAAACTCTTTTACGAATTCACTAACAATATTATGTTTAGTGGAAAAAAACTCAAATTTTTCCTGAAAAACGGCTTCCATCGAAGAAACAAAGTACAGACTCAGTATTGGGCATGCGTAAACCACCAAACAAATGTGTGACACTATGATGGTACGATCGATAATAAGAGTAAAACGATGAATCATCTAGGTCTTTAAATTGTGTTCCATAATTTAAACATATCGAACATTCGTGTTTGGCCAAGCATTTCTTTATTAAATAACCGGAGATATACCTAAAAAAAATTTTCTGTAAATTATCGCATGTTTTATAGTCATTTTCAATAGTGTCCTGAGATTTGACAGATTTGTCACTCTCAGTTGTCGATTCAGTTTCGTTTTGGTTATTTGGTATGTCAGCTGCTCTAATAATAATTTTTGCAGCATCCTCTTCACTATTCTCGGTTCCTGAATTGATTATTTTCATGCAGAATAACTTTCGAAAAGATCGGATAAATTGAATTGGAGTTGGGTTGACACAATTTCCATTTTGCTGCCTAACTGACCCAAAAAAATTTTCTAAGCAGTCTTGCTGCGTTCTCCTGGTAAATAAAAATTGCATGCCTTCATTAGATACGATATCCCATAGTTCTAAGGTAGCGTTAATAGCTATTTTCCATCCTTCAATGCATTTTATTCCATTGGTGACATTATTACCTTTTGAGTTGCGTACTAATAAATTGTCCAACATTTGGTAACATTCTTGTAGAAAGGATTTTTGTTCTTCTGTTGCTTTGTAAGCATTTTGAAATAGCGTAGATCCAAAAAGATTTGATGAATTTGGGATATCGAAAAGATTGTTTATTTTTTCCACAAATTCTTGCGTAGCAGTGGCCTCTTTAGGAAGTTCTCCGAACCTTATATAAACAAGAAGTTTTGCGGCCACTGTCTTACTAAAAATTTGGGTAGCGTATTTTACTTTCATCTTTTCAAAGTTGTTTGGACGAATGTGTGACTCTGTAAGCTTGGGTGCCGCTTTAACTTGATAACCTTGATCATGATTGAAAAATTGTTTTATAAATTTCCAACTGATTATACATCCGTCAATTTCAAAAAGGTGTTTAAGCAAATTATTGCGAAGTGATTTTATTAAATGTGGGATATCAAATATATAAACAATTTTTGTGTTTGTATGATAAAAATACGGAGTTTCCGGTGTTACCCCTAACATTTTTG